CCAGACACTGGGGAGTGAGGAAACTAGGATAACAGGGTGCGCCTGGGACACTGTTAGTGTACGGTTGTGAAACTGTGCCCTGCTCAGGGCCCCCGCCTCCTGAGCCACTGGCCCTCCATCAGGGTTGGGGACATAGCTAGAGAGACACATGTCATGCCTTTCTCTGACCTCTTGATATCTCAGAGCCAAAAAGATATTATTGTTGCCTTTCCTTTTCCTTTTAACAGTACTGGGGATGAAGTCCAGGTTCTTGTGCACACTAGACAAGTGCTCCACCACCGAATGATGTCCCTAGCCCTCATTACAATATATTCTAGAAAGGGCAGTAATACCCCAATGACCCACCTCCGTCCACAATAGCTTCATAGCTGACTTCCAACAGCAGCCGGAGCTGGGGGTCCATCGTGTGTGCCTGCTTGGGGTGGACCCCAAAAAAGGAGGCGTCGAACTTGGTCAGATCCTTCAGCTTTCCAGACCTCTTGGGCAGTCCATAGAGCCCTGTGGAACATCACAGCCTCTGAAGCCAGGGAACCAAGAAATCCTTCTTCTTGAGGAAGGCTTCCAGAAGTGACCCAGCCTCACTGCTAATGTCCCAAAACAGCCACATGTGGGTGACCCAGAGCAAAATCTGTAGGAGGTGAGGCTGGCGACTACCCCCTGGTAACCCCAACCTGACTGGGAGACCCTCTGCCTGCTCAGAGCTGGCCAGGCCAGCCCAATGCTGACTCACACCTGCCCATCAGGTAGAGCGGCTCTGTGGCTCTCTTAGAGCCCGTTGGGTGTGAGAGTCATCTTAGACACCACCTGGCAGCTCAAGGCATAGACTGCAGATAGGATATCCAAAGGGCCAGTCCCCTTCTATGGCCCACCTTTGGTGTCCTCCACAGCAGGACTGACCAAGGCACCTGCCCCTTTTCATTCTGACTGGTTCTCAACCTCACAGCTAGCTCTACAGGGAGTTCACCATGTCTCCAGCCGTGCCTTGGTCATAGACCCTGTCTGTCCTGCTGCCTGATCCCGAGGGGACACTCACCGGCCTTCCAACGCCTGTCATCATCTGTGACCATGTCCACACCACCAATGAGGTTGGCCCAGAACTCCTGCAGGTTCTCTGACTCGGGCAACTTCCCCGACATACCGGCTATCACCACCTCCTCCATGGCTTCTTCTCTGTGGGGGAAGGTAGCACGGTGGGTCTATCTCTCTCTCACACAGTCATTCCCAGCTACAGCCCCCTGAATCCACAGGTAGCACATCTAAGAGCCCTTCCCTGACTTTCTGAGAGCAAGAGACAAGAAAGGCCCCAGTGGAAACTAGCAGGACCCAGCTGTAATCAGGTCTCCTTGCACTGACAGCTATTTCTGAGGTTTTCATCCCTTCCAGGGTAAAGACACTTGACCTGGCCTGACCCTACCATGCCTTGCCAGAGCTACCTGGGACCATACGATCTCCAGTTGTCTGTTGGGTGCTCCATCCCAAGCTAGTCAAATCAGGAACTTGGAAACAGAAGTGGGGCTTTAAGAAGTAGGGTCTGGAGTACTCTCACCTCAAGCCACGGGGAAGCCAGCGCGCTTCCCTTTCATGATGAGGGTGGAGACTGACTGCCGTTCAGGGCCAGCCAGGACGCCAGGCTTGGTAAGGACCCAGAAGGAACAGGCCCGACTACTATTGAGTGCCCAGGCCTAGCAGGGCTGAGGCAAACAAGATCCCCTGCCAATGGACCCCTTCAGCAAGATCCGACCTGGAGTACCACTCCCAGCTAGGATAGGAGACATGTGAAGCCTCTCGCCATTTGGCCAAACACCTTGTAACCTGCTGCCGAGGCAGCAGACGGGTCTGCTAGATCCTCAGGTCCCTAAAGCACTTGCCCAGGGCAATCCAGGCCTTGCAGCCGTAGACCAACGCGAAGGCTTCCGCGCCACCTAGCCGGCGAGGCCTGGATGGTCTGATGACTTCCGCTGAGGCCCCTGGGGCCTCGTGCGCACCTAGACCCGCATCTGGCCTCTCCAAACTGGAGCCCGGGTACCACCGCGGCCTCCTGCGCTCTGCCAAAGCCGCCCGGTGCGAATGAAGGCCCCAGCCCCATCCACGAGGCGTCCAGCCTCCTGCACCCGGCTGGCGCGGCGCCCACGTGACAGCGGCCCGCCGCGCTGGCTCTCCGCACACCCCTCCCGCGCCCCTCTCGGCCCGACCGCGGAACACAGCCGGGTGGCTGGCTGTCGGAGGGGCGCGGTGGCGCTTTTGTGAGCGCAGGTGTGCGGAGGATGGGCGCCCGCCTGTCCTCCCACTGGAGCCGCGGCATCCCGACACCGGCCTGCCGCCCCGGAACCCCGAACGCAGAGGCGTACCTGTCTGGGCTCTGGAGGCAGACGACAAGCGAGGAGCGCGGCAGGCGAACTGGACGGGACGCCGCTGCCGTCTCTCTGGCTCCCTCTAGGCCGCGCCGGCGCTATTTAAACCGCGGCCATCCCCGCGCGGCCACGCCACATGGGCTGACAGCTTGGCTGCGCCGCCCAGGCCAATGAGCGTCGGGGCTGCGCCCCGGGACCCGGCGCGCCGCCGCCGGTGGGGTGATGCCCGCGCGCGCCGCCCCCAGCCGGGACCCTGCACGGGCGCGCGCTGGAGCACAAGGAACGCGCAGCCCCCGCCTGCTTCCGTCCCCGCCCCCGGCCTCGCGCGGGCCACGCGGGGCTCATCCCGACGCCCTCATCTCTGTCCTCCCACCCCCCGAGGCCGGGGCCAGGTGTGCACTGTGCGCGCGGAGTGTAGGTCGGGCGTGCTTGGTCACACTGGGGACTGCACTGAGGAGGACACCAGGGCCACGCGGGGGGACAGATCCGTGTCACTGCGATTCCACGCCGCGATCGTAGCACGCGCGGAGCCTAAGGGCGTGGCCTGCTCCACATCGAGACCAATTGGACACCGAGGCCGTTCTCGGTGGCCCAATGGCGGCGCGCGGGTGGGCGTTGCTAGGCAATAGGGTGATGGGCCGGCAACAGCGGCAAAGCGCTTAGCGGGCCCCCGCGCAAGCGCGGTCGTTGACCCCGGCGGAGGGCGCCTCAGGCAGGGTTATTACCGGTCATCGTAGCCCAGCTTTCACGGATACCCACCCGCTCTGTGCCCGCCTTGGAGACTAGGATGCGGGCAGGGACGGGGCCAGTAGGCAGGATAGGGAACACTGACGGGCGCGTGCCGCGGTCTCCGGAGTCCGCTCAGTGTCCAGGCGCGGCCATCTGGCGAGCGGGATACCACCCCTCCCCCTCCTGATGGGAACAAAGGAGCTGCTGCGCGCCTCCCTGAGTTGCTAGTTTCCGGGACCCTTTCCCTCCCTCCCTTTAAATTCCTCTTTTGAAAGGGTTATCGAATTTGGGGGCGGGAGATGACTAAACTCACCGACCAAAAAGACACAGACTGCTCAGGGTTGGGCCTCTTGAGTGCCCAGAGAGGTTGTTTCCTTTCCTTCTGTCCTTCCACTACAGGCCCAGACCACTAAGACTAACCTCCTTATGGGGCAATGGCTTTGGGGGGTGGGGGTGGGAGGGGAGGGGGAGGTTGGCGGGGGGGGGGGGGGGTCGGGGGGGGGGAGTAGTGTCAGTGGTCATTGACTGCATGTCTATAGCAAAAGCCAGAGCCTCGGAGCATTGCTTGTCATCTCTGGCTTCTAGTTTCTCCAGCTTGGCTGTCCACCCAGGGTCTCTGTGGAAGGAGGCTAAGCAGGGACCCCTGAAGGACAGCCTGTAGGACTGGCAGGTGTGTAATCTGTTCACATGCAGGCTTGCCCCCCGGTTCTCCCATTAGTGCCCCTATGCCTTTAGGGCCCGTTCCATGGCCTGCTGATGGCATCTTTTGCTGTAGTGTGTGTGTGTGCTATGGAGGTGGAGGGTGCAAGACCCAGGTCCAATACCTGCACTGTCCCCATTCGAGGGTCTTCACTTTGGTGTTCATTGTGTGGTTGTCTTTGGGTTGCAGGGCCAGCCTAGGAGAGCCATTGCTGTCCCACCCCACCTTCTGGTTCTCGAAATATGCCATGTTTGCCTTCTCACTGGCCAGGCTGCTGGCCAACCATAAGTGTACAACGCAGCTCTGGCTCTGCAGCGATCAGGGTCTCAGGTGGAGGGGTTGTAACCCAGGATAGCAGACTGGGATGCAGAGTCTGGGCCTGTGCACAGAGAAGGATGCTGAGGTCAGAGCAGACTTACATCTCAGAAGCATGTGGCCAGCAAAGAAAGTGGATTGCCAGGTGTGGATGTGGGAGAGCCGCACCAGGGTGGCCTGCCATTGCCCCTGCTGATCCTGAGAGCACAGAGTACCTAGGGGGGCTGTTGTGAAGATAGCCTATAGCTCTTTGCTTATGCACCTTGAGAGGAGCCTTCTATAGACACACAGCAAGAGTGATCTGCAGATGTGTGCTACCCAGGACCGAGGCTTTCAGCTGGCATCCAAGACCACATTACTGAGTGTGGTCTTTCCTGTGATGTTTGTGTGGCCCACACATGTCAGCCAGCCAGCCAGCCCAGAATCGCTGTCAGGATTTTACACAGATGCAGAATGAAGCTGCAAGAGTCACATGATTAGGGACACACAGCAGACTGGATAGCCTGGATAGCCTGGACCTGGAACCTGCCTCCATCCCTGCAGCCCTGAGTGTCTGACGCCCAGCAAGGCTAAGGCCATAGTCTTAGAGTTCTGATGCAGGCAGGAAATGGCCAGGCAGGTCTCACGATGAGGTTTTCAGTAGGCAGATGAGTGTGTTCCCGAGATAGGGCCTCTTGGCCAGGCTCCTGCTCCTGGGAGGACCCCTCACACAGTGTTCCTTGGGGACATACTTACTTTGTAGGTGGCCACTGCATTCTGCCCACCGGGTTCTGGAGAAGGACAGTGTCACTGACAGGGTCAGTGCACAGTGGCTGTGGGTGGTGACACAGGCAGGTGGCAGAGGCCAGCCCAGGCTCTAGGCTGCATTTCCCAAGTAGGACAAGATAGACAACTTGACAGGCAAAGCAGACGGGGGAGGGTTTTAATTGCTCGTTAGCATCAGGAAGGTCATCGTTTTGGAGCCGGTCCTGTGCTCACAGCCCACCTGTATACCATGTCTATACTCACCCCCAACTTGTGCAAGCACAGGCCCCACTACCAAGGTGGAGGCCCCTGTGCAGCCCCTGCAGGAGGCTGAGATTTAGTCCTTGAGGTTGTAGTTGCGGACCCTAGGGTGCTGTTGCTGCTGGCAGTTTGTAGGTTTAGCTGGATGAGACTTGCTGGGTCTAGGGTGGGCAGCTTTTGGCTGAGCTTCCATCTTTAGCCCTTTGACAGCAAAGGCCTTTTGTATGGGGACGGGGCTCCGGTTGACCTTTTGTATGGGGACGGGGCTCCTGTTAACCTTTTGGAAACAGCTGGGTCCCGGAGGTGCTGGACACTCTACAGGCAAGAAGCAGAAAAGGATGTAGATTAGGACACGGGGAGGGAAGGTGGGTGAGTGCCCAGAGCTGGTTAGATCATACTCAGCAACCTGCAGGGACTCATATTCTGTTCTTTGCAGGAGCCTATACAGGCCAGCAGGCCCTCCACAGTGACCTAGCCCTAGCCAGTGGCAGCAGCTGTGTGGGGTCCTGACTAGGGTGCAAGAGGTCTGTGTGGGCATGGGCTTTACATATTTTCAACTGATCCTGGGCCTGCCTCTCCCCTAGTGCACAGAAAGAAATCTGGGCTCTGGAAACAAAAGAAAGCAAAAAACACCCTGAGTTGCTGTGACCATTAAGGGCATGGGGGCAGGCCACCCCATTGAGAGTTCAGTCCTTTGACCTGTCCTGGGGGCCTGAGTGTACACGGAGTGTTCATGAACACTCTGACCACTTACATACCTGACAGGCCAAGGACTGTCTGGTAAGCTGTACTCCACACAGGCACAGGTTAAAGCCTAGAGCAGCCCTGCCAGTCTCCACTTGAGCCATGGTTTAAGTGGTCTTTTTATTGCTGCTAACTGCAGCTGCTGCTAGGACCCAGACTTAATGGGTATGTGCCTGCTTGTAAGCCACGTCTAGCTTTTGTAGATGACCATCTTTGTCTTTAAAGCTTTTCTGTCCTTTGAGTCTTTGACACTAAAAATGAGTATCTTTTCTAAAACCATTTCATCTCCCTCAGGTACAGAGACAGACCTGTTCTTCCTCCCTGGCAGCCTGGCCCAGCAGACAAGAAGCTTCTGGTTTACCTGGAGCTGGAGCTTTTGCATTTTTATAATTTTTTGTTTTCCTTTTTAGACAGGAACTTTGTTTCTGGTTTACCTGGAACTGCTTGGCCTAGAAACTAGAGACATGCCTGGCGGTGGTGGCTCACGCCTTTAATCCCAGCACTTGGGAGGCAGAGGCAGGTGGATTTCTGAGTTCAAGGCCAGCCTGGTCTACAGAGTGAGTTCCAGGACAGCCAGGGCTACACAGAGAAACCCTGTCTCGAAAAACCAAAAAAAAAAAAAAAAGAGAGAGAAAGAAAGAAAGAAAAATGAAAAAGAAACTAGAGACACACCTGCCCCTGCCTCCCAAGTGCAGGGTTAAGAGCATGTAACACCATGCACTCTATTTTACAGCAGAATCTAGTTAGTGTCTTGGAGACACAGCGCCACTGCTTGTCAGTCTTAACTCAGCTGTCTTATGTGCATGAGGCAACCTGAGAGGTGATATGCATGTCTGTCCAGAGTTGAGGAGTCCACCTCTCTGTGACTCCCATGGGCCTGGAACATGCTGACCAGGCACTGACTAGGGGAAGAGTCAGTACAGTCACAGAGTGCCGGGCTGAATCCACTGTGCCGTGAGCATGGAGCCTGAACGCGTACATGGGCTCTGGGGAAGTGGACTGCCCTTCTCCTTGCTTCGGCCCTGTGTTTACCTCTACTGCTGTCCTGAGACTGGGTGTGAGTCTCTCTTTGTGTCTGTCTCTTTTAAGTCAGGGTCTTGCTCTTGTGATCCAGGCTGGCGTTAAACTCATGGCAATCCTGCTTCAGCCTTGTGAGAACTCGGGTTACAAGTATGTGATACTATGTCCAGCTTTCTGAAACACTTAGAACCTCATTAGGGCCATTTCTGCTTGAGCTCCTGCTGGACCAGACTCTGCTGTCTGACTCGGGAGCCATCCGTCTGGGATATTCCTGAGGACTCCTGCTAGCTGTGTCTGGTTCTCCAAATCCAGACCACCCTTCTCTTACACAGATACTCCCACCCCATCTCTCTCCCAGACACCAGCTACCATATCACATGGTTCTTCCCCTGTAAGTCTTCCAGAAGTCATCATGGAGGAGTAGGAATCACAGAAAAGGCTTCATGCTAGACCCTCTTGCTGCCTACCTGGCACAGTCAGGGGCAAAGGCTGAAACTAGCCTGATCCAACCGGTGGTCACAGTGGAGCTGTTCATGACTCAGACCAGTGTCAGACAAGTAGCTTCTAACTGGCGCCCAGAGCTAGATGGTTGTATTCAAACTGTTCCTGAGCAGGTCTGGTTAGAGGAAGAACGGCACACTCTGCTTTGTGGCCTTTGGTTTCTCCTCCTGGCCTCTCTATAGACAGTCCTCCCTGTGGGGGGGAAGGAGGTACTTGGCTCAACTCCCAGACTTTCAGGGCAGGGGGCCCCCAGCCCACTACTCTGTGTTCTGGTTCTGTAAGATATTTCAGTCCCCGTGGCTCTTCACTGAGGGAGTGGTATTGGAGCCTGGTGGGTCCATGTGAGGGTAACTGCAGAGCCATGGTGTGCCTTCACTGAACACTGGCTCCCGGAATCTGGGGAGGAGAGCTGGCTGTGTTTGGAGATGGGCCTGGCTCTCATCTACACTAAAGTGGC